AGACCCTAAACCCATCTAAACCCTGCACCCTCCGAATGCTTAGTTCACTCACCCGTGGTATAGGCCAACTGGGCTTCCAGAACTACACATGAAGCCTTCGCTTGACGTCAACTCAATCGCTAAAGGACTGCTTCCTGTCAACTGTAATCTGGGGGCCTTAATGCGTAGAATAGGTTATATCGTTTTGGGGCCCATTATACTATAACTATAATCAGGAACCCCCAAAACAGTGTCGGTAATTATTTAGGCCCCTACATTATGCCTTTGGTTTGTGGGTTGCCGGCTTTGGGGAGGAGGTTTAAGGTTTAGGGTTTAGGGATAAGATGGCTCGGGCACGTGTACTGCCTGCCAGACTCTCACTGGACAAGTGATAGTGTCTTTCAAAATAAAGACGAGGAGGCCGTTCTTTGTCCTGGAAAGGAGTTTAGAGAGGAACAACATCATAATTCATCATAATTCCGAAGATGGCCCCTAAAGGAACCCTCAAAGGGACCTTATTGGGGGTACCCTTAAAGGAGCCCTTAGAGGATCTGCTAAGCCTTAAAGGGGTTCCGAGTTCGGGTTGGGGTCCCAGAACCCGGAACCCTACACCTACACCCTACACGCTGGCCGGCAGGGTTGAGGGTTTAGGGTTTATAAGGTCTAGTGGTTTAGGGGGGTTCAGGGTCTAGGGTTTGTAAGGTTTAGGGTTTAGGGGCGTTTAGGGTTTATAAGGTTCAGGGTTTAATGAGGTTTAGGGTTTAGGGCCCCAAGTTCAAACCCCGGTCGTAGGCGCAAAAGCCTAAAAACCCTAAATCTCGTATCCTCAACCCTAAAACTAACCCTAAACCCTAAACCCTAAACCCTAAACCCTAAACCGCCTAAACCCTAAACCCTATACCCTAAACCCCAAAATTCGGCCAACACCTGAATCCCGAAGTCCCATGGTGCACCACACGTGTGGGGGGTTCCCAAATTAGGGGATCCTAATATTGTACCCTAAATAGTAGGATCCTTATTCTAAGGACCCCCAAAATCAGGTCCCAAAACCCCCAAACATTATAGTACCCTTATAGATTCTTTATAGGAGCCCTTTAAAGGACACCCAATATAAGGACCCCAAAAAAGGGATCCCCGAATTTTCGGAAACTCCCAAGCCTTGCCCTCCGGATCGTCTTCAGGTGCTTCAGAAGCCTGCAGATTGGATTTGCTCGGCTGGGGGTCCCCAGATGCCTCCGCAGGTTCAGGGTTTAAGGGGGTGTAGGGTTTAGGGATCCCCTATTCTCCGCGAAATGTGGGATTTCTATAGTAGGAATTACGCTCTCCCCAAGCCCTCAGGAAGCCGAAGCTCTCTCACAGCTCTTCCCAGCCTCTTCCCAGCCTCCCCAAGCTTTCCCGAAGCTCTCCCCAACCTCTCCCAAAGCAACGCTCTCCCGAAACTCTCCCAACTCCCGACCCTCCGCCCATACTCTCCCGTGCCGAACCGCTCCCAGCAACCCACACCGCCCCAGCCATAACCACTCATCACCATCACCAGAGACATGCTCAGAGAATGAGTGGGCTTCAAGAACTGCTGACGAGCAACCAACAAGCCTTACGAACGAACCACCACAAGTATACTTACCAGCTGCTCCCCAGCTGCTCCCCACCTTTATACCATACATTGTCCTCCCGAAGCATATCCCCAAGAGGCCTCTACCATCTTACCAGTACAGAGCATTTGGAAGTACGTGACATGTTCCTTGAACCTTTGTTCCAACTTGAGGAAGTGTTTTACATTGAGAGGTCTTGGAATGTGTGCAAGCCTTTTGTTCCTTCCTGAGGCCAGTGACGTCGACAAGAAGAAGGGGCGGAAGCTGGACCCGAACGAAGACTTGCGCAACAAGGGCTTCAAGGCCGAGCAGTGGAGCCGGAGAGTACTAGCGGAACCCCTAAACCCTATACTAAACCCTAAACCCTAAACCGGGGTCGTTTCTTATAGTTAGGGGTTCCTTGTTCGGGGGCCCTTATCTCAACGATCCTGCAGGGTCGGTCTGTGTTACCAAGAGGGTCCAGGTCCCGAAAGACCATCCTTATTTGGTTTTGGGGACTTAACTCCATCATAGTAGTATATGTGGACCCTTAGGGCCAGGGTTCCTTATTGTGTTAGGGTGTAGGCTTATGATTTAGGGTTTGAACGTGCTTAAAAGGGCCCTTGAAGGGGGGATCCTGGGACACCCCCAACCCCGCAGGTGCCTTAAAAGGCTCCCCTGTTGAATCGCCCTGCACTGCACCTAAACCCTAAACCCTAAACCCCCCGGCATCCAAAAGATGCTTCAGCAATACTCCCGGAGACGCCCATCTCCAGGGACCTGGCCCTTCTGTGGACGATAGAAATCCTGCATTACCTTAACCTAACCCTTAAACCCTAAACCCTAAACCCCTAAACCCTAATCCCTTAACCCTAAGGCTCTAAGGACTCATATAGTAAGGCTTTGGGGCCCAAAGACCATACTATATTGTAAGGCTGTTGGGCTATTTGGAGCATTACCTTAAGGACCCTGAACTATGGGAATTATGGTCTACTCCTTATCATGGGTACTTCAGGGGTTTCTATCATCAACCGTAGGAGCTCACCCTATATACTGACAACCCAGTAACTCACGATCAAGGTAACTGGGCTCTTAGGGTTATAATGAAAATGAGCCCTGTCTATGAAGCCGCCTAAAGGCCTAGAAAGCCCCCTAGATAGACAGCAGCCTGGGCCGGTCCCTAGACCGGGTGGGTATTTCTCTATGAGGGTTCTTTTAGGTCCCCAATATAGGTACGGCACCCTTACCCTAAGGCTCAAAATAGCCCAAAAGCCTCACATAGTAGGGTCTTTGGGCCCAAAGGCCTCGACATGTGAGTCCTCAGAGACTTAGGGTTATAACAAGGACCCTAATACACATATTTACCCATCTGCTTCATTTGTGGTACTGTATCTATGTGTACATACATTGCAAAACATGACTATCTATATACACATGCTTAAAAGGAAAAAAGACATCTTCAGGGCTTGCAAGAACAGCCCAGAAGGAACCCAGGTCATGCAAACTTGGGTTAAACTCCCGAATCTCAAGACTTGTTCCCCAAACATCAGGCTGGACCCTCAACCCTAAACCCCAGGTCATGAAGGACTTGCTCGACTTCAAGTTTGCCGAGCGTGAGAAGAAGTGCTCTTCCCGCTTCGCTCGTGGCTCCATGCCTTGCCTTCACTTACTCCCAAAGGGTTTAAGGTTTAGGGTTTAGGGTTTAGGGGTACTGCTATGGGGGATAAACTTCCCTAAATCAGAATTGTAACTTCTAACATAGAAACCCTATACTCCCAACGGGTCCTATGTACTGTTATGGGGGATACTTCCTTAAATCAGAACAGTAACTCCCAACCCTAAACTAAACCCTAAACCGTGGCTCTCTTCCATAAATCAGAGCAGTAACTCCTACTATAGAAGCCCTACATTCCACTATTTAGGTACGCAGGGACCCTTGGGGTTTAATCCTCAGTTTCCTTACCGAAAACTTTAAACGAGATGATCTTTGCGGGTCGAAGCAAAGACTAGAGAGAGGCTTTGGGCTTCATCCTA